TAAAAACACTGTGCGAAAATATTCCCAGTCATGGTCTGGGGATTGGAAAATTCCTATTTGAAATGAAAGACCTTAGTGAGTACACTGGGAAGACCCCAAAAAACACTGTGCGACAAAATCGCAGTCATGTTCTGGGGTTTGGAAAATTCCTATTGGTGATAGAAAGACCTTAGTGAAAATGATTGGTAGCTATTGTAAATATTTTAGGACATCACATTCCTGCGATAAAATCGAATGAGGAATTTTTTTGTAGAACATTTTGTCCTTCAAACTCGATTCCTTGTGTGCCCTTTTTATTGAACCGGGCTCCAATTATCAAAAGATGCAATTTTTCAACCTCGCAATATACTACAAAAATGTTAATCATAAGATTTTAGATGGGGTCCTCCAAGAAGAAAAATCGATATTTATACCCTACACAACTATGTTGTCAGGGTATTATAGCTTTGTGCATCCCCAAGAGTTTGTAACGCCGCGAAATATTGGTCCTAGACCCACCTTTAAGGATACCGATCGTCATATCTCGACTATCTGAGTCGATCTAGACATGTGTGTCCGTCCGTCTGTCCATTATATTTTGTAAACACGATACAGGCCACAGTTATGGACCAATCTTCACGAAATTTTGCATGTAGGATGGGTTTGGCCAAATGAAGACCCCTATTGTTTTTGGTAAAGATCGGATAATATTTAGGGGATGAAATGGACCAAATACTTAATTTTTGTCGGTTTTTCTGGTCGCTCCAATTATGGCCCAAACATCTCAAATTTTTACACGAAGAAGGGGATTGGGCCAAAGAATAAGCATACCTGTTTTGATAAAGATCGGTCAATATTTAGCGGGTCAAATGGACCCTGACTTTTGTGTGAAAAATTACAAAATTTGGATTCTATGGCGTATATATTTACTCCTGAAGGACATAGAGCCGGGAAGTTGATAGTATATCCAAGAGGAGTGGTTGGCCTTTAAATTGATACCAATTGTATTGTGGTATGTACACAATATCGGATATGGGAGTTACACGTAAATATTTACAGGTGCTTATGTATTCAGATACTATTTAGTAACCCATAACCACACTAGAGGGCGGTAATATAGCACTGATCGCTTTGAAATTTTCCATGAGGTTCCAGTTATGGTCAAGGACAACGCTTACAATTTTCGGTGATGATCAGATAACAATTCGGGATGAAGTGGAGCGGAAACTTTTTTGTTTGTTTCTTTTTTCGAGACGATCTATAGGCCACAATTGTAAACCGATCATCACAACACCACACGCGGTGAAGGGAATCTGGACAAGTAGTTAGAGGGGCGTCTGTACTGAATATTAGTAATATTCGGAAAATATGTAATTGTAAGTAAGTGGTGCTGTTGAACTCTAATCGGAAAAGAGGGTGCAAATATCAAGAAATATTGCACAGGCTCGGAATAAAAATCCGCAGAAAGTTAGAGTTACGTGGTAGTTGTGTAGGGTATCGTATGGTCGGCCCCGTCCGACTTTACTGCTCCACTCACTGGTTTAACGTCTAATTGTTCAGTTCTCAAATATAACCCGATTCTCGTCCCTAGAACCCTATATGTATGAATTTTGAATAAATTTAATATACATTCCTTATTATGTAGAACTTTTGGATTTATACGAATTATTTAAAAAAATATAAATTTCGAGGAACAAAGAACCGGTTTTCCGGGTCTTTTTCCACGACTTAAACCGACAATAGTCCGGTTCAACAAACATAGAACGTTTTTTGTTACTAGATTTCTAATGATCTGCATAGGAGGTATTGAAACCAGTTATATTATTTGAGTAACCGGCTCAAACATTTAGAAAACCGGGTCTTTTTCCACGATTTAAACCGATAATAGTCCGGTTCAATAAATATAAAACGTTTTTGTTTCTAGCTTTCTAATGATCCGCATAGAAGGTATTGAAACCAGTTATATTATCTGAATATCCGGTTCAACATTTAGAAAACCGATTATTTTTCCACGATTTAAACCGATAATAGTCCGGATCAATAAATCTAGAACGTTTTTGTTACTAGCTTTCTAATGATCTGCATAGAAGGCATTGAAATCGGTTATATTATCTGAATAACCGGTTCAAATATTTAGAAAACAGGTTATTTTTTAGCGAATTAAACCGATAGTAGTCCAGTTCAATAAATCTAAAACGTTTTTGTTACTAGCTTTCTAATGATCTGCATAGAAGGTATTGAAACCAGTTATATTATCTGAATATCCAGTTCAAAAATTTCGAAAACCAATTATTTTTTCACGAATTAAAACGATAATAGTCCGGTCCAATAAATCTAGAACGTTTTAGTTTCTAGCTTTCTAATGATATGCATATATGGTATTGAAATCGGTTATATTATCTGAATAACCGGTTCAAAAATTTAGAAAACCGATTATTTTTCACGAATTAAGCCGATAATAGTCCAGTTGAGTAAATCTAAAAAGTTTTTCTTACTAGCTTTCTAATTATCTACATAGAAGATATTGAAATCGGTTATATTATCTGAATAACCGGTTTAAAAATTTAGAAAAACCGTTCTTTTCGCACGAATTAAACCGATAATAGTCCGGTTCAATAAACCTAGAACGTTTTGTTACTAGATTTCTAATGATCGGCATAGAAGGCATTGAAATCGGTTATATTATCTGAATAACCGGTTCAAAATTTAAAAAATCAGTTATTTTTCCCACGATATGTTCAAAGACATATTATCCGTATAAAAATTCCAACCGATTTTAGTTAATTAAATGCCCATCTCATTGTTCAGTACTGTCGATCATTCATAGAATCTAAATATCCGGTTCAAAAATTTAGAAAACCGGTTCTATTTTCCTTGAAATATTCAACGACATAGAAACTTTATTAGAATGCCGACCGATTTTATATTTTTAAATGACCACCTCATTGTTTAGCATTGTCGAACTTTTATAGAATCCGAATATCCGGTTAAAAAAATTTAGAAAACCGGTTTTTTTTCTAAGAAATATTCAAAGACATATCATTCGTATAAAAATGCCGTTTTTTTCCCTCGAAATATGCAACGACATAGCATCTATATAAAAATGCCGACCTATTTTAGTTATTTAAATGTCAACCTCGTTATTCAGTACTATCGAACTTTTATAGAATCTGAATATGCGGTTCAAAAAATTAGAAAACCGGTTCTTTTTTTCTAAGAAATATTCAAAGACATATCATTCGTATAAAAATGCCGGTTTTTTTTCCTCGAAATATGCAACGACATAGCATCTATAAACTGCCGACCGATTTTAGTTATTTAAATGCCAATCTTATTGTTCGGCAGTGTCGAACTTTTATAGAATCTTAATATACGGTTAAAAAAAATTAAAAACCCGGTTCTTTTTTCCTAGAAATATTCAAAGACATAGCATCCATATAAAAATCCCGACCGATTTTAGTTATTTAAACGCCCACCTCATTGTTCAGTACTATCGAACTTTTACAGAATCTGAATATCCGGTTAAAAAAATTAGAAAACCGGTTCTTTTTTTCTCGAAATATTCAAAGACATAGCATCCATATACAAATGCCTACCGATTTTAGTTATTTAAATGTCCACCTCATTGTTTAGCATTGCCGAACTTTTATAGAATCTGAATATGCGGTTCAAAAAATTTAGAAAACCGGTTCTTTTTTCCATGAAATATTCAAAGACATAGCATCTATATAAAAAGGCCAACCGATTTTAGTTAATTAAATGCCCATCTCATTGTTCAGTACTGTAGAACTTTTATAGAATTTAAATATCCGGTTAAAAAAAGTAGAAAACCGGTTCTTTTTTCCTCGAAATATTCAAAGACATATCATCCGTATAAAAATGCCGATTATTTTTATTTTTTTTAGAATCTGAATATACGGTTAAAAAATTTAGAAAACCGGGGTTTTTCCACGAAATATTCAAAGACATAGCATCTATATACAAATGCCGATCGATTTTAGTTATTTAAATGCCCACCATATTGTTCGTCAGTGTCGAACTTTTATAGAATCTGAATATCCGGTTGAAACATTCAAAACCCGGTTCTTTTTCCACGAAATGTTCAAAGATATAGTATCCATATAAAAATACCTACCTATTTTAGTTATTTAAATACCTACCTCGTTGTTCAGTACTGTCGAACATTCATAGAATCTGAATATCCGGTTCAAAAATATAGGAACCCGGTTATTTTGTCCACGAAATGTTCACATACATATCATCCATATGAAAATGCCCACCGATTTTACTTATTTAAATGTTTAAATGACCATTGTTCAGCACTGTCGAACTTAGCGTTTATTTATTACACTCTTGGTGTCCCTATAAAACTGAGGAAATATTTGCCTCGCTTTTTTATAGACCCCCATATAACTCCAAATTTTTGATGTCTTTAAATTTAATATAATAATTTCCAATTACCTAAAATCGAAACAGAAGCTATATAACTAAATAAAAAAATTACAATATCTATACCATTCTCATCAGGGGACAAATCAAACAAGATATTAAATGTTAATGTGGACCGGTAACCGGCCAGAATATAATAACAATTACCAGTTTCAATGAAACACAACAAAAAAACATTCTAAAACACAAAGATCTCTATAATAAAAAAATAATTTTTAAAATAAATTTTAATGCAACCCCTTGTCCTGCTCCGCTCCTACAACTAACGATTCTTGCTAGAATTTCACAATCACGTTTGACATCCATTATACTATAAACACTCCCTCCCCCCATGCTAGTTTACCAGCACACAACAAAAATCACACACAAACAACAACAACAACAAAAATAAATTCTGATACTCTATTCAAAGCGTCAACACGGCACAGTCAACGAGTTTAGTCTGTAATCAGTCATTGTGCGACGAACATCAGTAATTGTTTTGCCAATACAAAAAAAAAATAAACCGAAATCACACGAATCGCGCTATAACTCTAACACAATAATTGAATTCCATTTCTAAATTAAAAAAAATGAGTTCCGAAATCAGTGTTAAGGAAAAACTTAAAATTCTCAAATCATGGTTCCGTGAAAATCCTAATCTACCGGAAGAAATCGGTAGGTTTGTTTGATGTCCCCTATTACGAGTCTATAGTGATAAGAATAATCGGCCATGTCGGATTTGTGTTTTGTTGATATTTACTATTTGATAACTTTTGTGTGTGGACTTCAGCATAAATGCCCAGTGATGCGGCAAACCCACTCAACTCAATTTGATTTATTGATATGACCTCTGGAAGGGAGGCATAATTATACAAAGAAATAAAAAAAACAATAATTATTCATTTTTGGCTTGGTGAACAAAAATAACAAGCGAAAAAAGTATTAAGTTCAGCAGAACTAGTTATACCCCTCACCAAAGGTATGATTTTGGGAAGTTTGAATAAAACTTCGAAGATAATGGAAAACCAGTAAGGAAAGTAGTAAAGTCGGACGGTGCCGACTATATGATACCCTTCACAACTTTGGGTATATTCAACAAATGAATTCTAACGACGACGCATTTTTAAAGGACCAGTAAAATGAAATTGGATCCATAAACATGTCATTCTGCAACCGATACAAAATTTTTCATTTGGTCAGATAAATCTGAACCGATTTCAGGAAACATAAAACACATCATTTTGGACCTAATTCATTAATCTGTGCAAATTTCGTGCAAACCGAAAGATATTAAGGGATTTTGGTACACCATTTACCTTAAATCGGGCGAAAAAATATATATGGGAGCTATATCTAAATGTGAACCGATTTTCACGAAACTTAACACACTTCATTGTAGACCTAATTCACACGCTATGCCAAATTTCGTGCAAATCGAATGATATATAGGGTCTTTGGTGCACCATTTACATAAAATCGGACGAAACTATATATGGGAGCTATATCTAAATCTGAACCGATTTTTACGAAAATTATCGCACATCATTCTAGACTCAATGCAGTACGCTATGCCAAATTTCGTGCAATTCGAAGTATATATAGGGTCTTTGGTGCACCATTTACATAAAATCGGACGAAACTATATATGGGAGCTATATCTAAATCTGAACCGATTTTCACGAAACTTAGCACACATCATTCTATACCTAATTCATTACGCTGTGCCAAATTTCGTGCAAATCGAAAGATATATGGGGACTTTGGGCAACCATTTACATTAAATCGGACGAAAATATATATGGGAGCCATATCTAAATCTGAACCGATTTTCAAGAAACTTAGCACACTTCATTTTAGGCTTAATTCAGTACGATATGCCAAATTTCGTGCAAATCGAATAATATATAGGGACATTGGTGCACCATTTACATAAAATCGGACGAAAATATATATGGGAGCTATATCTAAATCGAAACCGATTTTCACGAAACTTAACACACATAATTTTTGACTCAATTCAGTACGCTGTGCCAAATTTCGTGCAAATCGAACGATATTTGGGGACCTTGGTGCACCATTTACCTTAAATCGGACGAAAATATATATATGGGAACTATATCTAAATCTGAACCGATTTTTACGAAACTTAGCACATATCATTTTAGGCTTAATTCAGTACGATATGCCAAATTTCGTGCAAATCGAATAATATATAGGGACATTGGTGCACCATTTACATAAAATCGGACGAAAATATATATGGGAGCTATATCTAAATCGAAACCGATTTTCACGAAACTTAACACACATAATTTTTGACTCAATTCAGTACGCTGTGCCAAATTTCGTGCAAATCGAAAGATATTTAGGGACTTTGGTACACCAATTACCTTAAATCGGACGAAAATATATATGGGAGCTAAATCTAAATCTAAACCGATTTTCACGAAACTTAACACACATAATTTTTGACTCAATTCAGTACGCTATGCCAATTTTCGTGCAAATTGAATGATATATAGGGACATTGGTGCACCATTTACATAAAATCGGCCGATAATGTATATGGGAGCTATATCTAAATCTGGACCGATTTTCTCGAAACTTACCACTCATCATTTCAGACTTAATTCAGCACGCTATGCCAAATTTCGTGCAAATCGAATAATATATAGGGACATTGATGCACCATTTACATAAAATCGGACAAAAATATATATGGGAGCTATATCTAAATCGGAACCGATTTTCACGAAACTTAACACACTTCATTGTAGATCTATTCCATTACGCTGTGCCAAATTTTGTGGAAATCGAAAGATATTTAGGGACTTTGGTGGACCATTTACATTAAATCGGCCGAAAATATATATGGGAGCTATCTATATCTAAATCTGAACCGATTTTCAGGAAACTTAACACACATCATTCTATACCTAATTCATTACGCTGTGCCAAATTTCGTGCAAATCGAAAGATTTATAGGGACTTTGGTACACCATTTACAATAAATCGGACGAAGATATATATGGGAGCTATATCTAAATCTGAACCGATTTTCACGAAACTTTGCACACATCATTCTATACTTCATTCATTACGCTGTGCCAAATTTCGTGCAAATCAAAAGATATATGGGGACTTTGGTGGACCATTTACATTAAATCGGCCGAAAATATATATGGGAGCTATATCAAAATCTGAACCGATTTTTCCCAATTTCAATAGGGTTCGTCCTTGGGCCAAATAAGTGACCTATGCAAAATTTCATCCAAATCGTATCATAAATGCGACCTGTACAAAAATACATGGACGGACGGACATGCATAAATCGACTCAGAAAGTGATTCTATGCATATTCTCAAAAGGAACCCTGGGTCTATCTCGATTATTTTTGCCTGTTACAAACATATGCACAAAGATATAATACCCTGTACCACAGTGTGGTGAAGGGTATAAATAGTATATAAGTGAACCCCTGCCGACAAAGTTTTCAAAGGCCATCTTTGAATCCACTGGATACCAGGAATACTAAGATGCAGCCACTTTTCATTACATATGGCGGACCGATATTAATATTTTTGAGAGGATATCATCATATAGAGGATATTTCTAACAGTGGACCTTTTTTCGAACTTGTCCTCAACTTCGAAGGACAATAGACGAATATAAAAATTATATATGAGCGCTACTCCGAAATGTTGACCAATATCGATAATTTTTGATATGGAGATTTGGTACTCAACTCGAATCTAAAATACCAAACTCAGACAATTCGTTTGAAAAACTTGCCAAATATCCCTTAAATTTCCTAATTTTTTTGGGACACCAATTTTGGGGCACCAATTCAAATATCGGAAACTTAGGGATGCCATTATAAGTGGGCACACCAAAACGTGGACAGATATATACGATTATCAATTCCTCCTTTGATTATTTCAAAGTGTTACAAACAGAATGTCATATTTAATTTACCCTCCCTGGATGCAGGGTATACAAAACAAGACATTATCAACAGTAATCGGTAATTTGTTTATCTAAACAAAAAAGCGAGTCCACTGCTTTTTAATATGGAAATGTAGTCAGCAAACAAAAGACGAAATGAATTCCATTTGCTTGGTGAAATATCTAAAATATTGAGAGTTCAAAATTTGTCGCATTTATTTATGGATGATTTCGAACAATAGGCGGTTGATAAATAAATGGACTACGTGGGTGAATGAAAGAAGAACTGAACAGGTGCTAGATTAGATTCTTCTTTGGACAATGCAATATAAAATAAAATGCTTTAAAAATATCGCTGTACATGGGTGCGCTAGGTCTAAAATATGTATATTAGGAAAGCTGAAGCTGTTAATGGATCTACTAATAATTTTCCTAAAATCATCTCTTGTATTGTATTTTTGTTTTGAAACAACTCGAAATATTAGTCCTAGATTTGGATATGCCAATATTCTCGAAATTTGGCATAAAGTAAGTCGATACCGAGGACCAATTATATCCTTCACCTATTTGGTACAGGGTATTATGTCTTTAGACCCATGGTTCCTTTAATACGCATAGAATCACTTTCTGAGTTAATCTATGCATGTCCGTCCGTCTGTTGATGTTAAATTGTAAACAAGGTACAGTTCGCGAATTGGGTGAAATTTAGTACAGCTCTTTTTTTGGCTCAAGGACGAACCCCATTGAAATTTGTGAAAATCGGTTCAGGTTTAGATATAGCTCCCAAATATTTTTTCGTCCGATTTAAGGTAAATGGAACACAAAAGTCCCTAAATATCTTTCGATTTGCCCGAAATTTGGCATAGCGCACTGAATTAAGTCTAGAATGATGTGTGTTAAGTTTCGTGAAAATCGGTTCAGGTTTAGATATTGTTACTTTATATATTTTCTTCCGATTTTATCTAAATGGTGCACCAAAGTCCATATAAAACTTCTGATTTGCACAAAATTTTGCATAGTGTTCAGAACTGAGTTCAGAATGACGTGTGTCAAGTTTCGTGAAAATCGGTTCAGATTTAGATATAGCTCACATATACAAATTCGTCCGATTTTATTAAATGGTGCACCAAAGGTGCATCTTTCGATTTGCACGAAATTTTGCATGGCGTACTGAATTGAGCCTGTAATGATGTATGCTAAGTTTCGTGCAAATCGGTTCAGATTAAATATAGCTCCCATAAGCATTTTCGCCCGATTTTATGTTAATGGTGCACCAAAGCAACTTTCTTTCGATTTGCACCAAATTTCGCATACCGTACTGAATTGAGTGTGGAATGATGTGTGCTAAGTTTTGTAAAAATCGATTCAGATTTAGATATAGCTCCCATAGATATTTTCTTCCGATTTTATGTAAATTGTGCTCTAAAGACCTTAAGTTTGTCCGATTGACACACAATTTTGTACTGAAGTTAATATAAATTAATCTCTGGCAAGTTTCGTTGAAATCGGTTCAGATTTAAATATAGCTCCCACATACATATTTTCATCCGATTTTAGGTAAATGATGCTCCAAACTCCTAATGTTTGTTCTTACTTAGCTGGCTCTTTCATAAGACGAGCTTAAAAAAGATTTCCAGGTGCATCGGTCTTTTGCGCATATGCCTTTTGAGCTGGAGGATCTTCATCCATTCTCACAACATGACCTAGGCAACGTGGTCGCTGCAGCTCGATACGTCTAACAATGCTGATGTCCGAAAATAGATAGTACTACTCATGGTTAATACGACGGCGATATTCACCGCCAACGCAGATCGGTCCATAGATCTTTCGGAGAAATTTTCTCTCAAACACTCCAAGCGCTGCCTCTGCTTGCGTAAGTACCCATGCTTCCGATCCATACAACAGCGTCTTGTAGAGTGTGTGTTTGGTCTGGCGGTAGGTGGCTTTGCTTCTGAACTGCTTACTTAGACCATAGTAGCATCTGTAGTTGATCCGAGTCTGATCTTGGTCTTCTCGCCGTTTACTGCCAGACCCACTGGGGCAGACTCCTTCTCAATTTGTTCAAAGGTGGCTGTTACGGCTCTCAATGTTCGACCATTTCTGTTCACCTTTGCCTCTCTCATGACCTTTTCCAGTAGGATGTTAAAAAGATTACACGACAAACTGTCACCTTATCTGAATCCTCATTCACTATTAAAAAGCCTCCTCGGGGCTTTTCCGACTATAACTGCTGATATTGTGCCAGTTAAAGTTATCCTGCATAGCCGAATTAAATTTGCAGGAATGCCAAACGCAGACATGGCCTTAAACACCTCTGAACGAATGGGGCTGTCGAATGCGACTTTATAGTCGACGAATAGGTGGAATGTGTCGATGTGTTTTTCGTGCATTTTTTCCAGGATTTTGGCGTATTTTGGCGTAAAGTACTGGATAGTACTTTATATGTGATGGGAAGGAGACCTATTCCTCTATAGTTGGCACATATCGTCTTGTCTCCTTTTTTGTACACGGGATGCTGAGGTTCCAATCATTGGGTATGCATTCCTCTACCCAAATTGTACTTGTGCATGCTCCTTACCAGCATATGACAACCAGTCTTAAATAGTTCGACTGGTAACCCATCGGCACCAGCTGCTTTATTCTTCTTCAGCCGATTAATTGCTATTCGGACCTCATCTTGGCTTGGCTTGGCACTCTATACCGTCATCTATTATTGGTTCTAGGGTATCCTCTTCACCGCTACTATTTGATACCAGAAGTTTTCAAAATGCTCCTTCCAGATCCTCAGATCGCTGTCTGTATCTATCACCAGGTTTCCACCTTCATCTCTACAGGAGGATATGCCTGCACCAAAGCCTTCGTTTTGGTGTTTTACTCGTTGATAACATTTCCGGACTTCATTCTAACTCCTTTACATCTCAATTTTCTCACGCTCACGTTTTTCTTGTTCTTTCTTCTTTTTTATGAAAATCGGTTTCTCCTCTCTCCTTTTCTCCCGATAATTCTCCATCGCATTACGTGTTGCTACTGTGTGTAGTGTTGCTCTATACGCTGCGTTCTTTGCCTCAGTAGCATTACGACACTCCTGATCGTACCACGGATTTCTTGATGGTGGTCTTTGGTACTCAAGTGTTGTTTTTGCTGCAGTTTGTAGGGAGTGGGCAATTCTTTGCCATGGCGCTTCTATATTTTTATCGTGACAAGAAGTGCTTTCGCCAAGCAAGAGGGTAAGTTGAGCGGAGTAGGCTTCTGCTATCTGTTGTGCTTGCAGCTTTTCAACGTCGAGTTTCCGTGTTGTATTAGATCGCACCTTTGCTGCAACATTAAGACGGGGGCGAACCTTGGCTGCAACAAGGTAATGGTCCGAATCGATATTTGCTCCTCGTATCGATCGAACGTCTAAAACACTGGACGAATGCCGTCCGTCTATCACAACATGGTCAATTTGATTTCTCGTTGCTTGATCAGGAGAAATCCAGGTGGCCTTGTGTATATCGGGATGATTGAATCTGGTGCTGCTAACTACCATGTTTTTGCTGCCGCGAAGTCAATCAACCTCATGCCGTTGTCGGATGTTTCTTCATGGAGGCTGAATTTTCCGAAAAAAAAAATATTTTCCCTTCCGATTTTTTGCATTAAAATCTCTTAGCAAAATTTTAATGTCATGGCCAGGGCAGCGGTCATATGCAGTTTCTAGGCGCTCGTAAAAAATGTCTTTGGTCTATTCATCTTTGTCTTCCGTCGGAGCATGGGCGCAAATAAGACTGATGTAGAAGAACTTCGCTTTTATTCGGATTATAGCAATTCGCTCATATACTGGAGTGAATCTGGAGACGAGGTATTTTATTCTCCTGTTAACCACAAATCCGCAGCCAAATTCATGTCTCGTTTCATGGCAGCTTTAATACAGGGCGTAATCATCTGATTTACTTACGACAGTTCCTTTTCATCGCATTTCCTGTAATATGGACGATCTTTATTTATAATTATTTAAATATTATAATTATTTTTATAATTTCGACGTTGCGATTCAATTGCATAGCGTAATATCAATTCGCTATACGGTCTTGTGCACGAAACATGAATAAATCTTCAACTGGAATAATTCAATTATAAAACGCCTTCTCAATTGAAACTAATCAGATAACAAGCGATATAACAAGATATGTGTACGATGTACGTATAGTATGTGAGGTTTATTTATTGTAGGTAATTGTTACCTCAACACCTTCTCTAAAAACAATATTTTTTATTAAATAATACAGACATTGATTGATGACATTTTTCAATAAATCTAAAAATTTATTTTATTTTAATAATGTTTATATATATATATATAATCATTTTTTTATAAATGTTTGTAGATAAATTTGAAATTTTATTTAAGCAATAAAACACACCTATTATTTATATTATCAATTATCTGTGGTCAGTTCTCCGACGAATATGCCATCTGTTTGTATTTTGTTTTTCATGCTCTCACAAACACTCATTCTCTTTATATACATTTTTTATCAAGATTAAATTACTTTGTTGTGTGTGATGAAGAGTTGAGTACAGCTATGGGCAAAGAGTAATGCAGAGAATACGATCAAGTGCTACTGTTATCAATTAGAATGTACTCATGTGTTGGGTATTAGAGTGTTACCGAAATGAATGCCTAACAATAATGCAAATGTTTTTACCAGAGACGGATGTTCAGATTTACTATATCATATTTCATAAACTCTTAAGAGAATTATTTTTTAATTATTATTTTAATTTGTTTTTGTATTTTATTTCCTTATAGACTTAACACTATTAAAACGTTTTCTAAAATGCATGAACTACGATGTGGAAGAAACAAAAAAGCTGTTGGAACGCAACTACTTCTTGAGAAATAAAACCCCACAGATATTTATTGATCGTAATCCGGAAGATGAAGTAACTAGGAAATCATTTTTAAATGTGTAAGTATAAGTGAAATTGAATACACTGTCCTCCAGGAGACTGCACTATTCCACCATTTGTTTGGAAGTTCTACTTTCACTAATAGCTTTCGTTGGATTTGACTCGTCTTCGAAATTTTACATCGATTATTTGGTATTGGTTCCAGTAACTAATAAATAACTGAGCTTTGGACCTTCTATTTTACTGGAATTTGTCCTATAGCATTCCATATTAAAATTAGAACGTACATTTCTTTTTAGAGAAATGGTTCCATTACCCGGGCTCACAGCGGATAATTACAAGGTTTTATGTTTTCGGTTGATAAACAAAGATGCAAAGGCAGTAAGTAAATCTCCCTTCACTCCTGCACTTCCAAATATTTCCCCTACTCACTCTTCCTCTATTCCATAGCAAAACAACATTGAAGAGAGCAAGGCATTTTTCATGATGACCGACACACGTTTTACCTTTGACGATGTTACCGATAACTTCAGCGTTACTCTGCCGCCGCCACCCACTGAGACTGCAAACGAGGATGCAGAAGATATCGATGATGATATGTCCAAATTGTCCAATGGTGAAATACACATTGTTGATATTGCCAATTATACGTTGCGTCACATTGCCAATATGTCATTGATGGTTATGCGGGCCTATATGAATTTCCTACAGGAAGCATATCCTGTACGACTAAAGGCAATGCACATTATTAATTGTCCAGCGCAAGTTAATCATATGGTGAGGATAACAAAACCATTTATAAGGGAGGAAGTATTCAATATGGTAGGGAAAAATTTACTTTTTTTTTTAAAAAAAAATAGGTTTCTATTAAATATGATTTTGTTTGCAGACCCACTTCCACACCAAAGGCCTCGAAACGTTATATGAACAAGTGCCGCGTGACATCTTGCCTTTGGACTATGGTGGTAATGCTCGAAGTTTAGCCGAGATCTCATCGGATTGGTGGAAAATTATCAATAACAAAAAGTAAGATAATTTTATTCAATTATATATAATAAAAAAAAATATTCCAAAATAAATGATATATTTTTCCAGGGAATATTTAATGGATCCTAGACATTGGAAAGTTACCAAAACTGAAGAAGCACCGAGTCGTTGGAGTTTGTGGTGATTTGTTGTTGTCGAATTTTTAATTGTATTTTTTGTCTATAGACTTGTGAATGTATTAGTATTGTGTATGTATGTGATATAATTGTTAAACAAATTGTACCTCAATATACCGTTTCTGAATATTTGTTGTAATTTTTTACCGGTTTTTTTAATTCCAAATTTCGACTCAATCGGACAAAAATATATATGGGAAACTTAACACACATAATTCTAGACTCAATTAAATATCCTGTGCAAAATTTCATGTAAACTGAATAAGATTTCCACTAAACACGTATGTAAATCTGTACTTAATTCAAAACGTTGTGCAATTTTTTTTTCTCAATCGGACAAATATTTTGACTTGGCTGAGCTATGAGCGATGCTGATGGCCTCTGTTGTATTTTCCTAAAAAAGTCTAACAGGGCAAATTGCATGGTGACCACCTGATATCGCCACGAATAAAAAAATACACGGCAAGGAAATATCTCTTACAATAAAATCATATTCGCTCATGTTGTGTAGCATTTGGCACCATCTTGTTGAACCACACATTCTCCAAGTCGGCCAAGTCCGACTATACTGCTCCGCTCACTGGTTTTTATACCCTTCAGCACACTGTGGTACAGGGTATTATGTCTTTGTGCATATGTTTGCATAACAGGCAAAAGGAAACGAGATAGACCCATAGTTCCTTTGGAGAATCACTTTCTGAGTCGATTTATCCGCCCGTCCGTCCGTCCTTCCGTCGGTCTGTCCGTCTCTTGGTGTTAAATTGTAAACACCTTTACGCATTTATAATCTGATTTGAATGAAATTTGGCACAGCTTATTTGCTTGGCCCAAGGACGAAACCTATTGAAATTGAGAAAAAAGGTTTAGATATAGCTCCCATATATTTTTTCGTCCGATTTAAGGTAAATATGGCACCAACGTTCCTAAATATCTTTCGATTTGCACGAAATTTGGCATAGAGTACTGAATTAGGTCCAGAATGATGTGTGCCAAGTTTCAAGATAATCGGGTCAGATTTATGTATAGCTCCCGTATATATTTTCGTCCGATTTAAGGTAAATGGGGCACCAAAGTCCCTATATATTATTCGATTTCCACGAAATTTGGCACAGCGTACGGAATTAAGTCTACAGTAATGAGTGCTGAGTTTCGTGAAAATCGGTTCAGATTTAGGTATAGCTTCCATATAAAGTTTCGTCCGATTTTATGCAAATGGTGCACCAAAGTCTCTATATATCTTTCGATTTGCACGAAATTTGGTATAGCATACTCAATTAAGTCTAGAATGATGTGTGCTAAGTTTTGTGAAAATCGGTTCAGATTTAAATACAGCTACCATATATAGTTTCGTCCGATTTTATGTAAATGGTGCACCAAAGTCACTATATATTCTTCGATTTGCACGAAATTTGGCGCAGCGTACTGAATTAAGTCTAGAATAATGTGTGCTGAGTTTCGGGAAAATCGGTTCAGATTTAGATATAGCTCCCATATATAGTTTCGTCCGATTTTATGTAAGTGGTGTACCAAAGTCCATATATATCATTCGATTTCCACGAAATTTGGCATCGCGTATTCAATTATGTCTAGAATGATGTGTGCTGGTTTCGTGAAAATCGGTTCAGATTAAACATATGTTCGGTTCAGATTAAATTTATGTATTTTCTTCCGATTTAATAGAAATGGTGCAACAAAGTCCCTATATATCTGTGCGCTAAGTTTCGTGAAAATCGATTCAGATTTAGATATAGCCCCCATATATATTTTCGTCCGATTTAAGGTAAATGGTGTACCAAAGTCCCTATATATCTTTCGATTTGCGCGAAATTTGGCATCGCGTACTCAATTAAGTGTTAAGTTTCCTGAAAATCGGTTCAGATTTAGATATAGCTCCAATATATATTTTCGTCCGATTTTATGCAAATGGTGCACCAAAGTCTCTATATATCCTTCGATTTGCACGAATTTGACAAAGCGTACTAAATTGAGTCTAGAATGACGTGTGCTAAGTTTCGTGAAAATCGATTCAAATTTAGATATAGCTCCCATTTGTATGGTTGTTGGAGTTCAGGTAAATGTTGCACCGGTTGACACGAATCGTATCAAATTGAGACGGTTGAAATGAAATTTAGCATAGATTCCAAAAACATAACGTATTCAAGTTTATTGGTCCTAGACCCACCTTTAAGTATACCGATCACCGTCATATCTCGACAAGCTGAATCGATTTAGACTTGTGTGTCCGTCCGTCCATTATAATTTGTAAACACGATACATGCCACAGTTATGGACCAATCTTCACGAAATTTTGCATGCCAGATGGGTTCTGTCCAATAAAGACCCCTATTGTTTTTGGTGAAGGTGGTTAACATTTTGAGGGATGAAATGGACCAAATACTAAAATTTTGTCTGATTTTCTGGTCGCTCCAGAGGCCTCAATTATGACCAAAGGAGAAGGGGTCGGGCTAAAGAATAACCATGCCAGTTTTGATGAAGATCAGTCAATATTTAGCGGGTCAAATGGACTCTGACTTTTGTGTGAAAAATTACAAAATTTGTATTCTATAGCGTATATATTTACCCCTGAAGGATATAGACCCGAGAAGTTGATAGTATATCCATGAGGAGTGGTCGACCTCTAAATTGATATCAATATTGTCGTATGCACTCGGATGTGGGAGATACACTTAAATATTTACAAGTGCTTACGTGTTTATATATTATTTTGTAACCTATTACCATACTAGAGGGCGGAAATATAACGCTGATCGCTTTGAAATTTTCCTGAGGATGGTGATGATCAGATAATAATATTTGGATGAAGTGGAAAACTTTATATTTTGTATTTTTTCAATTCTATCTATATGCCATAATTATAAGCCGAACATTACAACACAACCCAAGGTGAAGGGAATCTGGACAAGATATTAGAATGGCTGCACTGAATATTAGTAATAATTGTTGACCTCTAGTCGGTAAAGCGAGTTCAAATATCGCGAAATATTGTCCATGCTCAGAATATGGAACCACAGAAAGTTGGATTTTCATGGAAGTTGTGTAGGGTATCATATGGTCAGCCCCGTCCGACTATACTGCTGCGCCCTCTGGTTTTACTTACATTTTACCTTCAATAAAAAAGAGGCTCAATTTTATTTTTGAACAATTCGATTTATTTTTTATTTTATTTCAGTTTGTTTTGTTTTTTGTTTTCAGAACGTTTATCGATTTCATTTTGTCGACCGTTAATTTACTAACAATGACTAAAAGTATATTTTGATTTATTTGTTTCTAGAGACGTACGCATACAGATACATTACCTGTAGCGTCACACATACATACATACATGTATTTTTGTTATTTTTTTTAATTAATTTGTTTTCGATTTTATTTTGTTGTTTTCTTTGTTTTTTTAGACAGACAATGATGAGAGATAAAATTAGTTAGATAGAGATAGGTAGATAGTTGCTGTTTGTTATTTCTAATTCCTGTCATAGAATTCCTAAATTTCATTGATTTTGTTGTTGTTGTATTTTGTTTGTTTTTTTAGTTTATAATATTTTGACATACATATGTACTTGTGGTAGCATTTGGAATCTTAAACAACCGGAAACGGAAGCGTATTCCTCAAAATTTCATTGAGGTAAATTTCGAAAAAATTTCGAGATAGATCTTTAGTTTGTATTGAGCAATACCGAGGCGAGAGATTGTAGTCGAATCGTAATTGTTTAGGGGGCAACACATAAGAGGCTTGACATGTTAAGTTGGCTTATTTGGTTCTAAAAGAATAAAGGAGAACGGCGTCCTTGCACAAGTTTGACTCAGATATTCCTTTAAAAATTGACATTTGATACAAAGGCAACTAAACAGACCTGAATCCTCGTATGTGTTCCCCCCTTTAGGCTCTTTTTATTTTGTTTCCAGTTGATATTAAGAAAGTTTTTAATTATTTTTTCTATTTCTAAAATTGTTAACAATTGTTGTTTTTGTTGTGGTTTATGTTAATCTTTTAATATTCTTATAAAACTATTGCGTTTTTATGTTTGTATTTGTAATCATGTTTTTTTTTATTATTGGGAGAGTGTTTTTTATTTTATAATATTTTTTCCAGATTTCTATTTTTGCAGAAATCTTTTTGTTGTTGTTTTTATTTTCTTCATTAAATTAACTATTCCAAAAAATTGAAAACATTACATAAAGTAACAATCAGTCTAACATAGTTTACCAGTATATTTTTGTTTATAAATTCATAAGTTCTTCTGTACCGGAAACCATATAAAATTAAAATTACTTTACAAGAAAAAATAAATAATCAAATGTAAATAAGTGTTATGTGTAAACAATTCTTTTTATACCTTCCACCATAAAGTGAAGTCTGTTTGCAACACCTCGAAATATTCACGGGAGGACCCCAAAAAATATATAATCAGAATAAAATTCTATGTCGATTTATGTTTGTCCGTCTGTCTCCATATAACGGTACCCCCAAACTTACCAAAATTTATTAATATTGACCTAAGTTTCAGGGTAGCCCCCAGATAGCGGTACCTGCCAATATTTGGTATTTTGGGGATTTTGGACACGTTTACCAACCGACTTGGCTGGAATTTGGTATGTTGGGTTCTCACTGAAAAACACATATCCGCACCAAAATTATTAATATTGACACAAGTTTCAGAGTAGCCCCCATACAACGGTACCGATTGGAGTATCCGATTAGATTCATTAATTGCACATTTGCTCAACCTACATTAAATCGAAGTATGAGGTTTATAGGGCAACTTATTTTGCATCCATTTAAAGTGAACGCCTTACAGCCGGCCCGCAACTCCACGAAATGTTAGCCGGAGATCCACATAAAATATGACCCCCATATTCTATGCCAGTCTGTTGAAATCACGATAGGCATCGCAATATTAACAAAACACACCTTTAAAATTATGCATTGGCCTTGCTATTACTCCTAGAATTTTGGTATTACAGAGGGGATACATCGGCCCACGTTTAGATA